AAAATATTCACACTTAGGTAATAAGCGCACCCTATTCTATTTAGAAAGACAAAGTTGACAGCACTTCCTAAAACCAAAGGTGGTAGGTGGTAAGCGAAGTTTTACTTTATATTTACGTGTTAATAAAGTTTTCGAAGTTTCAGACTTTATTTTTTGAAATAACTGAGCTATTATAGTGGAACACGGAAATTAAGACACCCGGCATAATTGTTCGGAACTGATTTAATTTATATCTGCAGTTTTTTTGTCCACCACATTTTTAATATAACTTGTATTCTTGCTACTAGAGAATAGTATACAAACAAATATACAGGGTGAGTCAGTAAGCGTGCAGTTCTTTACACTCCAAAATTATTTTTAACTGTACAGAATATTTTATTAAATGAAATATTCTATGTATTTCTACATATTCTCATCAGCTTCTTCCTAGGTTTGACTACCACGGTTTATTTTTTAAATATCAAAGCGACGTTGCCACGTTTTTCATGAAAATTCCAATAAAACTTCAAGTATAAAAGAATATTTTGTGGCGGCATAAAGGTACGCTTTTTGTTGTGATGCCAATTAAATTTAATGTTAATATATAGAGTATTTATAAAAAATTAAAAAACTTCTAAATTTTCAAATATCGATACTACAGTTTTTTCAAATAGAACATCTTATATTTAATTACTATATCTTACTCTATTTTCTATTAACATTCTTCCATAAGTCGTTGTGTCTTTTAAAAAAAATCGCAGTCACTATCAAGTTTAAATTTAGAAAATACTTAACGAAAAAACAAAGAAAGAGAACAAAAAAATAGAATAAGATGTAGTAACAAAATACAAGTTTTTGAAAAAATATCGATATTTGGAAATTATATATTTAAATTTTTTATATAAACACGGCCTATAGAGAATCAATTTTAGTTATACCACAACATACTTTTTTATCTCTCCACATTTTTTTGGGGACCCTTTCAATGCTTAAAAATTTCAAGAAAATTGGATAATGTGACAACGTCGCATCGAATTGTCAAAAATAAACTGTGGTTGTAAAGCTCAAGAAGAAGCTAACGAAAATGTGTAAAACTATATAGGGTATTTCATACTGTACGTTTTATTTTGTCAACAGTGAGCTTAATTTAAAAAGTTTTTATGATGTCATCAACACATTTTCAAGAAAAAAAAAAGCGAAAATATGTAGGTACCAAAACAAATAAACGTAAACTATAATTTTAAATACTGTCCTAAAAAAACATAAAAGGTACCCCTTTGAAAAAATATTATGTACAACTTTAATACTGTCACTAAAAAACAAGGCGGACTCACAAAGCACAAGCACAGGAGTTATAATTTTATAAAATTGAAATGGCGTTTACTATGCAAAATTTTAAGATGACGTCGTTACAGCGTAGGTGGGGATGAACAGAAATTTTGGTTAGCGTTTTTTACCAACTTCGATTTTCCCAACACACATGTAAAATGTGACAACAATCGGTCCTGTAGTTTCGGATATTGTCTAATAGAAATCAATAAATACCGAGACGGGCGACCCATTATTTCGTACACTAGGGGTTATGAAACATACAGAGAACTTGAAAGTAACCATTCGTCGGTTAAACCGTATTATATAAACATACAATATGTATATAAAATTTTCAGTTGGAAATCAAGTACTAAAAAAATTATCTGCACCATCTCAATCTTCGTCGTAACCTAATTATTTCCAGATCAGACACATCGATAACTCTCAACTTTCACAAATATATTTCATTATGATAAAAGTATAGGTTCCCCGCCCACCCACCCATCTTTTATTGCATCATCTTAAACAAAAAAAAATCGTTTTCATGAAACTTTTCTAAACAAAAGCTCTGATCTGTATTTACATAAAAAATTGTAGTAATATAATCATTAATTTACTTATATATTCGAATTTTTGAGCTCGTTGGACTTCCACATATTTTTAATAAAAAAAAAAACTAATCTTTTCATAAAAAAAAAAAACAAATAATAAGAAATTGACGTATTTTCTTGAATGCCGAGACCCCGAGAAGATAAAAAATAACACTTCCGGACTTTCTAAACAAGATCAGTGTGAAAAAATCAGTCAAGGTTCATTTTTAATTCAATTATTCAAAAATTCGTCAAAATTTTATAAATCTTGAAAACTGTTTCTTGTTACGGACATTAAATACCATATATATTGTGCTAAACACAACTCTGACATTAAAAAATGAAAGACATAGTTTGAAATTTCATATTTATCATCTCAAAAATCGTCAAAATCTTGGAGTTGCCTAATGTCTTTTTGTTTAAATTTTAAAAAATGTCGAGCACGTAGGTGTTTGGTTTTTGAAAAAATATAGAATACAATCCTACTTCCTTAGCTTAAAAATAATAATAATAACACTCAAGAAGTAAAAATTCAGTTTCGGCACTAAAATGTTATCTGTGAAATTATAATTTGAATTACTGCGAATATTTCTCTTTTTTTCTGTTATGTTTTGCTACTTTTTATTTTCGTATGGTATAATCTTTATGTATAGTATTAAAAAACGACACAACACAAAATCTAGATACATATAACAAACACCATACGATCGAAAAAATAACTCCTCTAGTAAGCCGTGCAATTTATTTTTAAAATAATTTTTCAGTTTGACAGCTATCGTCATAAAATGTTAAATAGATGCACTGCCAACATGATTATTTTCAAAATTAGTTGCATCATCTACTAGAGGAGTTTTTTCCGACCATTTAGCAAACTATAAGAGATTTAAAAAAAAAATGAAAGTTACTTAAAATAAAAAAAAAATGCTTAAAATCAGGTTAATGTAATGGTTTCTGATCATTTTAATAAGGCTTTTAATTCCTTATTTATTTATTTTTATTAATTTACTTGATTACAACATTTAGTGAATTTGAAAAATGAATTTTCTTTGTTTTTACTGAAAAATTACTTTTTAATTTTAAGGGTGATTTCTTAAATTTGTAACGTAACCATTTTCGGCTGAAACAGGGCAGTTTGGATATCTAATTATTATACTTGATTTAAGTTGCTGTATGTGACGTCATCCCCTTTCGGGATATGATATCATATGCATTTTTTAAAATAGAGTGCTATATTTCCTATGTTTTTTGTAGACAGACTTTTTACTCTCCAGTCAAATAGTTTATAATTTTAAATCAAGTGAAAAAGATGAAAAATAGCTCAAAAGTTGCTTATTGTTGGAGCAGTTACTTCATTCGTCTTCAATTCTGTTTTTATTTAAGACAGTTTTACATGTTTGTTATACCTACAGATACCATTTAAAATTTGTTAAAAAGGTCCTTAATAGCATTATCCAAAACCACAACAAAAACTATATCGTTTTATTAAAAAAAAAGTGTGATATAACTCAAAAGTGGATAACATCATGAACAAGAGAAGACATTTAGAAAGTGTGTAATTAGATAAAAAAATTCTTCTGTTTCGGCATTTTCGACAATAAAAATATCCACATTGCATATTACCACCAGGAGAAATATAAAATATATATTGCTTTTTAGCACAAACGAAGCAATAAAGAATACTAAAAATACTATCTACTGTAGAGCATATTTCATATCAATAGACTAGAGAAAATTATTTTAAAATTACCACTTCGAAGAGGAAAATTATAAGGTAACTAATCCACCAAATAAAATTTATTTATTCACTTATAGACAAAATGAAGAAAACTTTTTCTGTCAAAATAGGACTACTTTTTTCATATTTTTCATCAATACAGAAACATAAAATTTACTGTAGGTTATGCAAAAATTTTTTATTATTGTTAAACGGAAAAGTCGTTGTCATTTCAATCATATTTATGTTGTAAAAATAATTCTTTGTAAATTTTGTTTTAAGGAAACAATAATTTTCGGAACAACAAAAAAATAACACATTTAGAACGTTGTCTATTTAAAAACTTTATTATTAGCTGTAATTTTAGCCTTTTCTGAAATTATTTAAAGAAATAAATTTATGTTTAAATCTCAGTTTATAACAAACAATTTATTATTTAATTTAATTTCGAATAAGTAATCAAAATTAAAATTAAAAAAAAATCCTAAGAGAAAAAATAAATTCTTTGGTCATCAATTTACTATGATCTTGTTTAAAATTCATTAATTTTAATCACGATAAATTTATTTTGCCCCAGTCTCCGTCTTGTTTAAAATTTTAACGTCGATTCTTCACTTCCAATATCAGCCACACAACACATACATTTCTAAAATAAATAAAATAATTAAAATTTCATACAACCTTGACTCCGTTTTTGTATGCTCGCAATCCATTTTCATTCAATTCATAAATGATACTCCTAATGAATAAATTATTAAATTTTACTGTATACATAGCCCGTTTTTCAAACAACGAGTAGTGAATTCCATGCTTATTTAAAAAAAAATCATTTTTTTACAGAATAGCTCATAACATCGCAGGGATAATTTCATAAACCGGCAATCCCGTCAGTGCCGCATAACATGCACATTTTAATCGAAAAAGCGCATCCCTCATTGAAAAAGCGCGAAAATTTCATTAACCGCGCAATCTGTGCACACCGAATACGTTTCCAAACAGGCTCCAGAACCGAAGCTCACATTCTGAGTCCACAGACATTGAAAACCGTATTGGACGAACGTATTTGAAAGCTCCGCCTCTCCCTAAAACTCCATTGGTCTGACTGTTCCCCGAAACTTACGTTCACCCCTATAGGAAGGTTTGAGTATCACGTAGGAAATACGCTTTTCTAAATGTCCACGTCGCGTCCTCCTCGCACCCTTATTCTCCCGCAAGCTCCCTCTCCCTCGCCCGAAAGAGAGGGACGCACTTTTAACCCAGCTGCTTTTAAGGGTAGGTTGTAAAATCTAACAATATTTGGACGTAGGGAGTATGTTTTTCCACATTATGCATTGTGCCGTCAAAGAGGACACATTGTTAGCCGTTCCGCAAAGTGACGTTCAGTGATAGTGGGTGCTCTCACAAAAATGACAATGGATGTAAGTAACAGAAAGCATGAACTGAAAAGTGACGTTATTAACACGAGCTGTGACGAACAGACGGAAATCAAAGTCGTGAAGCGGCCTTTCGACGTCGCTTTCTTGATGCTCCCGGACGACAAAATCAAGCAGAAGCAGAAGATCCTGAAGAACTACGAGAAATTAGCAGAAACGACGTACAACAACAACGAATCTGTCGACGAGGACGAAGAAATCGAAGTCGGGAACAACCAGGACTTCACCAGGACACACCAGAAGTACTTCACCCAGAAACAACAAATCTTCGACGACCCGAACTTGATCAAAGCGAAAAACTTAGACGAACTTCGCAGCAAATCCGACGTCCCCACGTCCTCCGAGCAGAAAAGCGCCTTCACGAAGGTAAACCTAGCCTCTAAGGACTTACGCTTAAGTCCTAACCTGTCAATAAGTCCGGATTTGAGCTACCAGAACTCCCTCAGCCCCTCTCCCCCCATAATCAACCGTAACTACCAGAACGTCCCGAACATGCTCTCTCCCACTCAGCTCTTCAAAAACCAACAAATTAATGCATATCAGAACACTTTCCTCCCCGACAATTTCAACCCCTCCTCGAATCTAGACAACCCTTTCTTAATTAAAAACCCGGATTTAATCCAGCCCAGTTTTCCTAAGATGCGCCCAATGTACAGGCCCGAATTATCGTACAATTACCAACAATTCCCCAATCAAGAGATGCTGAAAATTACCACCCCCGAGATAAGGAACCCTGCGGCGGCGATTTTAACCTCGCTGTTGCCGCCTTCGTTGGCGGCGTTGTCGTTGCCGGCGCAAAACGTTTGTGCCAAGTGCAATATCTCGTTCAGGATGACTTCGGATTTGGTTTACCACATGAGGTCGCACCACAAGAATGACTCGGTTGATGTTAACAGGAGGAGAAGGGAGGAGAAGCTCAAGTGTCCGGTTTGCTCGGAATCGTTCCGGGAGAGGCATCATTTGACGAGACATATGACGGCGCATCAGGATAAGGACGAGGACGAGGACGGGAAAATCAAAAAGAAATGTGCTCCGAATGTTCATTAATTTTTTTCGATGAGTTGGTTTTTAAGAAATTGACGTTTCTTTGTGTATGAAAGCAATAATGAAGCTCACTCGCACGCAACAGCACGTGTTCATCAATCTTCTGACTCTGTAATGTGTAGCAATAATTATTATGTATGGATAGGCTCTTCCCCGTTCCATGTATTTTGTAAATATGTATAAAATATGTTTATTATTAATTATATTTGTTGATTCTGTTGAAATTATGTTTGTGCAATAATATCGATTGTAAGTTATAAATAAACAAGGGCATTGGAAAATATGCGTTCTTTAATAAAATACCCTAAAGCTCATATTGAATTTAAGGCAAAATTTGTTTCGATCACGAGTTAAAAAAATGTGTAAAAAGAAAGTCTCATCTGGAAGTGCTTTTTCCTCAACTGTTCCTTAAAAACAGTAACAAATTTAATAATACACAAAATCGCCTACAAAAGTAGCTTTGCCTTCATTATCACTTATTGTAGAGTTATGAAGCTATCAATTTAATTTAAAATTAGCTTGATATTTTGTTAAAAAAAAGCTATTTTATCTTAATTTGTAAGATATGGAAATTTTGCTTAAGAATTTATTATTTTGTTCTTGGTCTAAGAATCTGCAACTTGTACGGATCCGAATTCTTACAAAAAAATCCGGATCCAAGATTTTTCCACGTAAGCTAAGGAAGTGTTGTGATAGAGCCCGTCAGAATCGCTACTTTCAGGTTTTCTCGACGCTTTATGACCCCTAGAGCACGAAAAAATAGGTCTCCCGTTTCCGCCTGCCTTCCGTCTGTCTGTTTGTCGTCTGTTTGTGTCGATTTTTATTAAGCAGTTAATTTCCTAAACTACTCGGTCGCTGTCAAATTTTATATGTATTTTAGATGTTTGATGCAGATGATAAAACGCTAAACAAAATTTGTCAAATCATTTCCACCAACAATGTGTCTCCTCAAAATTTTACATGGTAAGTAACATTAATTTAACATTTATAAAATAACATACTCTTACACTTGCAGTTTATGAATCCGCTTTGAGGTTTTTCCACAGACATCCAAATTTCCGCAAAAAAAATTGGTCATTCCATACAGCGAAAGAATTTGGACTTTAATTTTTTACACTGTTACTGCTATTATCTATATATATTTTCACGTATAGAGATTATCACAAACAAAATTTTCTGAAATTTACAATTTTACAACTTTTCAAAGAAGCGGGATTTATTGGATTGTCCTTAAATTACAAAAGAAATTCTCTCGAAATAAACTACACCATTTTTTTACAAACATCAAAAAATATTTTTTAAAATTCCAAAATATTGCTCTGAAATAAATGTTATAACTTAAAATAAAAAATTACAATAACTTTAAAATGTTTGCAAGATTTCAAAGAATTCGGTTGTGCAGTTTCGAAGTTAAATTGCAAAATGTTATACAGTTTTGATTTCTTCTTTCAAAAATCTTGATGTCTCTTTAGGGTAAAAATTCAACGCGGATTCATAAACCACAAATGCAGGAGTATATTATTTTATAAAATTTAACTAACATTTAAATTCATCTTTCTAGGGAGCATGAAATAGTTTCAAAAAATTATTCAAACTAAATATACACCTTGAGACGCGATTTTGTTGATGTTCCAGAATGTTTTTACTTCTTTATCTTTACGTTTTCTCAACCTTTTATAATCTCGTGAGTACGAAGAAATAGATCTCCGTTCGTCAGTCTGCCTGCCTGTCTGTCTGTCCGTCTGTCGTCTGTGCCGATTTCTTTTAGACAGATAATCTACGAAACTACTTGATTGATTGTTGTTAAATTTTCTGTGTGTTATGAACATCACGTAGACGGTAAAACGCTAACGAAACTTTGTCTAACCATCCCTACCAATAATGTGATGACGTCCCTTCAAAACTGTACATAGTAAATGGGTTTTAAATTGTATAAAAGAATATAGTTCTACACATGATGTTTATGGCTACGTCTTGAGTTTTTACCCAAAACGTCCAAATTTTAACAAAAAAAATTTGCATTTTAATTTTGAATCTGCGAAACCATGCAGATGTTTTAAAGTTATGATAAACATTATAAATTTATAATTAAAAAACTTAGTTTTAAAATTAATTTTTTTAAAAAACCTAAAAATTGCGATTTTTCGATTTTTTAATGGGCCATTCTGAAAAAATGGTTGCAGTTATTGGAGAAACGAGCCCGAAAATGATTTCTGCGGTTCGACTAGAAGAAAATTTTGTTAAATCTCGAAAATGGTCGAAAATGGGTCGAAATTTGAAGTGTTGAGAAAATTTCACTTTTGGAAAAGTTGTCTAAATATCCATAAAAATATCTGCAGTATAGATCTCGACGTTCTGTTTCCAAAAATATAGCATGTTTATGGTTAGGCAGCAACATTTACGAAAAATTTGGTTTTAAAGTCAAATTTTTTAAAAATTTCAAAAATTATGATTTTTAGATTTTTCAGTGGGCCATTCTGGCAAAACGGTTGGAGATATTGAAGAAACGAGCCCGCAAATGATTTCTGCGGTTCGAGATCTACAAGAAAATGTATTTAATTAAGTTTCGAAATGGTCGAAAATGAGTCGAAATTTGGAAAAATTTCACTTTTGAAAAAGATGTCTAAAAATCCACAAAATTCTGGAGTATAGATCTCGACGTGCTGATTCTAAAAAATGTAGCATGTTTATGGTCACGGAGGAATGTTTTCCCAAAATTCGGTTTTAAAGTCAAATTTTTTAAAAATTCCAAAAATTGAGATATTTCGACTTTTTAATGGGTCATTCTGGCAAAACAGTTGGAGTTATCGAAGAAACGAGCCCGGAAATGATTTCTGTGGGTTGAAATCCACAAGAAAAAGTGTTTTGTTAAGTTTTGAAAAGGGTCGAAAATGGGTCGCAATTTGTAAAAATTTCCCTTTTGAAGAAAAAGTTGTCTAAAAGTCGATAAAAAAATCTGGAGTATAGATCTCAACATGCTGATTCCAAAAAATGTAGCATGTTTATGGTCACGGAGCAGTATTTTCGAAAAATTCGGTTTTAAAGTCATATTTTCTAAAAATTCCAAAAATTGTGATTTTTCGATTTTTCAAATTCCGGAAAAAGGTTAGAGTTATCGAAGAAACCAGCCGGAAATCGAAATCTACAAGAAAACGTATTTGGTTAAGTTTCGAAAATGGTCGAAAATGGGTCAAAATTTGAAGAGTTTGGTGTTGGAAAATTTCATTTTTGAAAAAGTTGTCCAAAAAAAAAAAACACAAAAAATTCTGGAACATAGATCTCGACCTGCTGATTCCAAGAATTTAACATGTTTTTGGCCACGAAGTAATATTTTCGAAATATTCGTTTTCAAAATCAATTTTTTTTAAATATATTTGCTTATCACCTCCAAAAAATTGATGACATAATCTCAAAAATTTGCCGAATAAATCGTATCTAACATATGATCAGTCTATACTTGTGATTTATCATTGCATTCGTATTTTTTTTATTTGCTTGATAAGGGTGACTGAAAAAATTAAAGAATCAGTTCATTTACTTTTTTGAATAAATCAGGAATTGCAAAATTGAATACTCTGAAATCTTGTAGACGTTTTAAAATTATTGTAAGCATTCTTTGGGATTTTTTCGGCTTTTGGAATCTTGTTGGATTCCCTGGTATTCTATCGGATTCTGCCGGATTTTCTCTAAATCTCGGATTTTCTCAGAATTTAGACCGATTCTCTCATATTCTCTCGTATTGCTTCGAATCCTTTTCGTATTGTTTCGAATTCTGTTAGATTTTCTCGTATTGTTCTGGAGATCTATCGGATTCACTCGGATTCTTTCGGATTCTCGCAGATCCCTTAGGATTCTCTGGGATTCTTCACGATGCTGAAATATGTTAATTTAGTTTTAGGATTCTTTACGATGTTTTTTTTTATATTTACGTTTTTTTTTTAATTTTTTGCGTTTTCGCATTCTTCCGATCCTTAGCGTTTCTTGAATTTCTTGTATTCCTTCTGTACTTTGTATTCCTTGGATTTTCTGAGTTCCTTGGAATTGTCTCGGATTCTCTCGAATTATCTTGTATTCCCATGGCTTCTTTCAGATTCTTCCGAATTCTCTCCGATCTTCCAGGAACTTTTTTCCCGATTCTCCCGGATATCGAATATTTCGGATTATCTCGTATTCTTTCGGATCCTTTGTGTATTATATCAGATTCTTCTGGAATTATTTTCAAAATATCTTGGATACCTTCCGATCCTCTGAATTTGGTCAGAATCTCACATATTCTTTCGGTTTCTTTTCAGATATTCTAGTATGCATTCGGATTCTCTCGAATCTCAGATTTTTCGCATTCTTAGCTGTTCTTTCAGATTATCTGAAACAGCTAATCTCATTTGCCCTCAATTTGGAGTATTAAATATGTGTACCAAAATCACAAAAATGTATTAAATCTTTGTACTTTTTTTTATTTCTTGTAATTACTACACAGGTGTTAAAAAAAAATAAAACAGAATTTATTTTATTGATCATTCTGGGACCGCAGTGCTTGCCGTTACATATACCAGAAAGTCGATGACGTCATCACAAGAAATTATTAAATACATCTTTTTCAAAATAATCTTTGGGTAGATAGATTAAAAATACCAGTTATAGAATTTTGAAAATTTAAACTCAAGTTTAACCTAATTTCAATCTAATCACATCATAATTAAACGTTCTTACCAGCTAAAAGTCCTGTTTTAAATCAAATTTAAGAAGACATCGACCGATCGACTAATTTAATTTCTTTCGATATTTATCAAACATCGCGATTTGCTATGCTCTATTACAAACCAATGTAGTGCAAAGCGGCTGCTAACGAGAGACATAGGAACAAAAACAGTGTCACGTGCCCTAGCGTGGCCAATCGGGCTGTATGGCGTCCGCACTGAGCCTATCATAATCGATTCTTCTCGCCTCGTAAGCGCGGCCTGTTTGAATGCTACCGTGACACGAGATTACATGGGAGACTCAAG